CGATTAGGGTTACACGATATGAACAGACGGTCACGCCCTTGTCTACGTTCATTCGAAGCCGTAAAATAATACTTAAGGGCCCTAACCGGACACAGCGCTCTCAGTATCAGCAGGATGTAAGATTTCTTTGAGTGATCTTACAGTGAATTCTCTCTTCGTTTGCCCGATTCTCTGATTCTTGGCAACGAAGCCCATGAGCAGGCCCAGGTGGACCGCTCCTTCGTCACTCCTATCGAATCGTACCTTGGCGACATCGAGTGCATGAATTTCAGATACACGTGCCGCTGTGGCAAAGGAGAGGAGAAATGCTGTTTTCCAAGTCACATGCCGGAACGAAGCACTATGCAAGGTTTCATACGGAGCTTCCGTAAGTGATTGCAACACTAGGGAAAGATCCCAGGCCGGTGCCCGAAGGCGGCCCTTCTTAAGATCGTGCTGTTTGAAACCCTTGATAATACCCCGTATCACCGGCTCTTTGGAGAGACTGGTACCCATAGCAAAGTCCCGTACCGTAGCAACGGACGAGACATAGTTGGCAATGGAACCCCCGGAGAGTTTCCGGGTCTCTCGCAAGTGAGACATGAAATGAGCAATATCTGGCGAATGAATGTGATGTTTACAACACCACTCCGTGAAAATAACCCAATGTGCATTATACACCTTCTGGGTAGAATCACGATGCATACTAATGTATGCCCGAGACGCCCGACGAAAAAAACCTTTACTCCTCAGACGATCGGTGACAACATCCACGCGTGCAGATTGAACTGCCCCGCGTTTGGATGAAGCTGACAGGTGTGAGGGTGGATCAAGAGATCCGGTCTCACAGGCAGTGGAAGTGGCAACTGCGTGACCTGGGTCAGCAAGTCGGGGTACCACGATCTGTTCGGCCACATGCGCGATCAGTAACATTCGACAGCGAACTCCTCGGAGCCGGCTTAGAATGTGTGGTATCAATGCTGTCGGCGGGTAAGCATAAGCGTCCAAGCCCGTCCAGTCTAACGCGAGAGCATCGTGATCGATGGCCCTCGGGTCCAGGACCGGTGATACAAACAACGGGAGTTGATTGTTGAACCGTGTTGCGAACAGGTCGACCATCGGAAGACCCAAACATTCGCACAGCCACTGAAACACTACTGGGTTCAGCATCCACTCTGTGGGGCTCAGATCCTGAGGCCTCGATAGAGCGTCGGCCAGTACGTTCCGCACACCTGGGATGTGACGGGCGCGTATCTGGCACGGGACACTGTCCACCAGAGAGTAAAACTGGAACGTGAGATCGAGTAGCGAGTTCCCCCCAGTTTGTTCACATAGGACACTACCGTCGTGTTGTCGGTCGCCAGCATGAGCCGGGCGTCGACGAGACGATGCTTGCAGTGATTGACTGCGTTGATTACTGCCTTGAACTCGAGACAATTGATGTGATGTCTACGCACCACAGCCCCGAGCTCACCTCCCCCTCTAGATGGGCGCCCCAGCCCACTAGAGAGGCGTCTGTATACAGGTTCAACGTGGCCCGGTAGGGCCGCATAGAGACTCCTGATAAGACATTGTAAGGGACCGTCCCCCACTCCAGATGCGGTCGGAGCCGATCCGGGAGGGCGACGGTCGCACTGTTCTCCTCCTGTGCTAACAACTGGATGAAAAACCGTTGCAGCGGGCGGAGTTGGAGACGACCCTGTTCGGTGCAGTCCTGGGCTGACACAAGTAACCCTAACAGCTGTTCCCAAAAGTGAACAGTGTGTTGCACCGCTAAGACTTTGGCAATCATCGCCTGAATCTTGTGCCACCGGTCTGGGGGGACAAAGAGGCGATGGGTCACCGTGTTGAACCGACCTCCGATGAACTGCAAGTTCTGAGAGGGGGTTAACTCGCTCTTGGGGAGATTGACAATCCATCCCAATTGCTCAAAGAGCCGACGTGCGTGTCCGTCATTCGATTTGCTACTAGCGAGTCGTCCAGGTACGTGAAGTACCGGACACCCCCCCCGGTGGAGAAACCCCACTATGGGGGTGGTTAACCCGGGTGAACAGCCAGGGAGCGGATGAAAGACCGAATGGGAGTACAACCCACTCGTAGTGTCTGCCTTGAAAGACAAACCTGAGATACTTGTGATGATCCGAATGAATCGGAACATGCAGATAAGCATCCTTCAGGTCGATCGATGCGAGCCAGTTGGCCGGCATGATCAGAGCTTTCAGGTCCGCCAAGCTCAACATTCTGAACTTGGGCGGCTTGTGCAGGTAGAACTTGTTGAACGATTTCAAGTTGTGAATCATTCTGAGTTCGGCACTGTCCTTCTTAGGAACGAGAAATATCCTGGAGTAAAACCCCAATGTTATTTCTGGTAGAGCTAACTCCTGAACTGCCCTCTTCTCCACCAACCTGCCGATGGCATCGGCGAGGATGGGAAGATCGGTTTCCGAATAGAAACCTGCAGACGGGGCAACGGTGAGCGGCGGATTCGCTTTGAGATCGAGCCGATAGCCGTATCGAATCGTGTTGACCACCCACGGGTCGTCGACCACTTGTTCCCAATTCTCCCGGTAAGTCTGGAGTCTGGCTCCCACTGGGGAAGGAGAGGGGGGCCTGACAGGCTGCGGCAGGCACAACTGTCCAGGGCCAAGTGACTCGGGTTCGCCTACGGGCCAACCGAAGTTGGCGCTGTCGGCATACGAACCCCTCCAATGAGAGTCACCTGGAGGGGCCCTTGCCGTCCTTAGACGACTTGGGCTTCCCCCAGTTCCCCTTCTTCCCGCAAAAGGGCTGCTGATGGCCCTTACCGGAGCCCTCGGGGCGGGGCTTCTTCCCAGAGGAAGAAGAACCCGACCCCTTAGGCCTGCTGGCCGCAGCATCCTGGGGCGCACTCCGCTTAGGAGCGGCACCCACGCGCCTATGCAAGGACCCCACAAGATCCAGTGTGTGCCGAGAGGCCTCGGCAGACACAGCGGCCTGCTGTTCTTTCAGAACCCCAGGGATCTTGTTATTAAACAGGGTCCGAGCAGACCAAGCCTGCGAAAGGAGCACCTCCCGATTAGCAGCGTCCAACCCTGAGGAAACCAGATACGACTGGCGCCGGAGAAAATGGCACATGCCGGAAATAAAGGCCGCAGCCCCGGCAACGTACTCCAGGGAAGCATTTAAACCGATCAGGCAGTTATAAATGTGCTGGTCTCGGTCCGTGGGAGAACCTTCGACCAGACTGGCCGCTGCAGCCAGGTATGTGTCTCCGTGAGACATTGCAAGCATGGAGTGTCGAGCGAGGGTGTCCAGCTGCTGCAAGGTACCTTGTGGTACCGTGGCAGCCGGTGGGGCACGGACACCCAAACGCTCAACGTGGGCTTCCGCGGTAGGACCAGCCTCGGGAAAGGCAAGGTCATGCACCGGGAAGGACCCTTTTCTCCACGACGGTGGAGGTAACGTGAGACCCCGACTGGACGCAGACGCGAAGGCCTTCTCCAGGGAAGGCTTAATCCCGCGCAGCAAGGTTGCAAGGAAAGCCTTGTCAGACGACTCTTCGTACACCTCGGAGGAACCCACGGAGCCGTGGATTTCCCACGGTATTGGCAGGGCTTCGAAGAGGTCATAAACCATGGCCACGCGGTCCTTAACAGATAGCGGGAGCAACGGTTTCGGGGGAAGGACCGGTGACCACGGCAGCCGTCGCCGTACCGGTGGACCCGGCGTCCGAACGCGGCCACCGAAGAGGCCGGGGACGGAACAGCCAGCGGCCTATCCCGAGATAAGGCCGCCAGCTTGGAGTCCACAAGTTTAGATAACAATGCGGCGACGGAATCCCCAGACAGCCCGAGTTTCAACCCCCTCTAAGGGATTCGCCACAGCCGAGGAGGTGGTACCCGCACTGGGACCCCGACCGGACGAGCCGGCCACCACAGGGGTGGAGACGGACTGGACGTACAGTCGGTAGCGCTCAAACTCCGCAGGCCCCAGACCTTCGCACAGGGTGCACCGGGAGTCCCCGCAAGGAACCCTGCACCGCGGGCAACGATCGTGGGGATCCCGGGACGACAAGAATTTGCGGCACACCCCACACCTCACACCAGGGGTAGAGGGGGTTGAAACCGGGGACATTTCCATGTCAGACATTTTTTTATTCTATGAACAAAGAGCAAAACATGGTTACAACACACGCACCACAATGATTCACATACGAGCATTTTCACAAGAAAATAAACGAGCAATGTGAACATATAACATACACATAAAACATATAGAGAAATAAGTGATGTTATCCCCCAAAACATACAAGAACAGGGGAAACGTAAAACACAATGTGCATACGCGAACCCCGCAAGTATAGAGAAAAAAGGGCGGGAAAAATTCTCTGTTTGGCGGGAAAATTATATCCAAGCGTAGCTACCGCAACGCCCCATAAAAGCACAGTTTATTAGAGAATAAACTATAATAAATATCACCGAATATTAGAGGAACGCTTCAGCAGTAGGATACACGTCTTGCTAACGCAAGCGAAGGGGACACGAGTGAAGGGTGTCACATGGCAGCTACGTGGCTACGCACGTGCTGCAGGAGGTAATTGAGATCTCTGTGGTAGATTTCGCTATAGCAGCAGTTGTGGGAGACAACAGCCTCGGTATAACAGTGGTAACGTATTACTTAATGTAATATGAAGTTTTTTCTTCATTTTTGGCACTAATCTGAGTCCCATGACGATGCTAGACATCCTCCTAACGAGGAATGAGGTACTCAGTCTTGGCGAGCAAACAAGCTTCATAGCTTTTGGTAGTGACAAGATTTAATCTGAATCACATTTCAGTGCTACATAATTTATACTACCAACAATATCAGCTCTCTGAGCCTTGTAATATTTACCATTATGATGTTCGACATCCTTATCACTTAGCCTGTTTGAAGATATCAAATGTGAACACACATACAGAAGGAAAATGTGACATGTAATAAGCTCACCGTGACCTCTGGTCGTGGTGAAATAAACCTGTGTAAGATGTGTGTCATCCTACCGTGCTGAAGGACCAGCAAGACCCACACTGTCCCTGGTTCTTGACAGGGGTCACATACCCCTTGTCCCTCCAGTCAACTTGGGAGGGTACAGCAAGGTATTCAGGGGTCAGATGCTTGGAACACTCTACAGCACGGGAACGATTGTAGTCCCTTCGAAGGCCATTGTACATCCGGAATTCTTTATTTTTCTGAGATAAAAAAAAACAAAGAATATTTCCTGATGTTGATTAATGACACAGTTAACACAACTAAAACTATAACATTTTGTCAAAGTAACCAAAAATACTCAAAAGACCTTTCAAAATATTTCAAGAGATTGTTGACTTCATACATAACAATCTTGTGGGATTTTTATGCCTTTCATGAAGCCTAGTAAAATCCTATATAGTTTTTATATTTGTCTACTTATCCTGCATTAGTCCTTTATGCATCTTTATTGGACGGTGGAGGGCTTACCTACAGATGTGATTTTCAATGAAAGCTGGTGAAGACAGTCTGATCGCCAGAAGCAGCCTTCCATAATGACGCGGATGGAGCAATTGCTGTGAAGTGCCATGGTGGAGGCGACCGCAAGGACCTCGTACGGGATGCTGGGAAGTCCCACGGCCTCAAGGCCTGAAGAATGATGGCGATTTATGGGACTATCGTGACTTCCACCTGCGACGTTGTCGATACCAGGATGAAAAGGCAGCAACGTTGTCCACGACAATTCTTGGAGCTTGGAATGAAGCATTGCAGCGCACGCACCAGACAGTAACAAGTTCCTGTACATCCTCGGCCCCCACTATCAAAGGGGTGGCATGAGACAGGATCTGCCAGGCTGTCCTGGAAGTTGAATCCAAGTCCAAGCACAGCCCAAGATGAACAGCTCCATGCACTCCATGCTCAAAATGGACATGTGTAATGTCTGGAGCATGTATCTCCATGCCACTCTATCTGAGTAGCCCTTGGCACTTAAGGCTCTTTGTAGATGGACCAGGAATGAAGCCTGATTGGGCCATTTGCTGTGAGGGTGTATCAGCAGATTTGGCCTGTCCGGGAGTTTGAGAGGGTCGACGATGGACATCTTAAGATCCACGAACCAGCCTCTCGGCAAGGCGCGATCAAAGGCAGATTGAGGTTCTGGGTTGATCTGATCTTCTGAAGGAACCTGGGAAGGAGTACTGTTTGCGGAAAAGTGTACCCTCATAATCCTTCCCAGGGGATGCTGAATGTGTCAACTGCCCAAGGCTGTGGATCTGGTACCAGTGATATGAAGGTCCGGACATGGTAGTCGATATTGGGGTGGGCAAGGTGAATACAGACAAGACTGAAAGCGTTCGGATGGCGTTTCCACTCTCTGGGAGCTACTTTGTCTGGTTTTGATAGGGCAAGGATGTTGCGGCAACCTAGGATGTGTTGGACCCGAAACTGGAATTCCAATTGATTGACAAGTGGAAAAAGCAGAATGTGGGAGTGGGAGTGGGTTGTTCCCTGATTGTGGAGGCACCATACTATCGTGATAATGTCTGTGGATATGATGATCCAAGCGCGCTGGAGTGTCCATTTCCTGTGAGAGAGAGCCAGTATGAGTGCCTCTTGTTCTAGGTTGTTGATGTGCCACTGATGTTGAGCGGCCAACCACAGCCCCGAGGCAATTTGACCCTCAGGGTGCACTCCCCAGCCTTGAAGAGAGGCGTTGACAAACAGGTGTAATGAGGTCATAAGCTCTGTCAAGGAGACGCCGTCTAAGAATTTGATTCCACCATCAACCATCAGAGGTGTGGTTTGAGATGGTCCAGTGTGAAGTCCCTAAGACGGATGAGCAGTACGTGTATATACGCCTCGAACTGGACATTCCTCAGGTGGAGGAAGGTGGCTATCGACTTGATGCGTGTAAATAGCCACACAGCAGAGGAAAAAACATGTGGGATGACCACCGCCCATTGATAGTGGATTTCATCGAAGATGAAGCAGAGGAATTTCCTGTCGCTGGGATGAATCAGCACATGTAAATAAACGTCCTGGATATCCAGACTGATTAGTGAGTCGTGAGCCTGTATCTTGGACCTAAGTAGCCTGAGTATGGTCATCAGAAATATGGTGGCTGTGCCAGGTAGCGCTTGTTGAATGTTGAGAATTGATCAGAGTTCTTCTTGGGGACAAGGAATATTTGCAAATAGAAGCCCATTGTTAAGGCTGGAGAGGCTGGTCGTCTCTCAGAGTGATTCAATACGCTCGGCGCAGAATGTTTATGACATATAGGATCCAGAAGTTGTCCCAATTTTGCCAGAATCGTCGTAGTCCCACCTACAGGAGTAGGAGTCCACACAGACACAGACACACAGATATGTATTCTCTCTCTCTCTCTCTCATAACAGTCACAAGAAGGCTGGTAGAATTCAGTAGACATCCCCTTGCCCTGGTTTCTGCCACGGAAAACATGGAGGTGTCACTTCTGCGTGGTCTGAGGGAGTTTCGCCTCGGCTGGTAGTTCCCCTATCTAGAGGGCTTGAAAGAGGTCTCATCTCTGGCAAAGCTGGATACCTGAGCATGGGTGGCGGAGACTTTGAGACTTGGCCATTGAAGAGTGAGAGAGAGATGACCAAGGTTGGCAGAAGAGGTCCTTCGTGAATTCAGCGTCCTACTCAGTGAATAGACGCAGACGAGCCCTCATGCGTTCTATTTGGCACTGTAGATAGACAAAGACAGTGTTAATGTGGTTAAGATGGTTGAGGTTATCCGCTGAGGGGTCTTGTATTATTGCTCCGTAGGTCGATACCATGACACAGTAGTTTCCATCTTCCCGAGGCATGAGAGTTAACTGACTATAAAAGTCCGGTTTCCACCCTTGCCGAACTAGGCTGGAATTCCTCGGCTACATCGTTTGTTTGTTTGTTTGGTTGTTTGTTGTTTAACGCTCACTCAGCAATATTCCAGCCATATGACGGCGGTCTGTAAAATAATCGAGTCTGGACCAGACAATCCAGTGATTGACATCATGAGCATCGATCCACACAATTGGGATCGATGACATGTATCAACCAAGTAGCGAGCCTGACCACCCAATCCTGTTAGTCGCCTTTTACGACAAGCATAGTCGCCTTTTACGGCAAGTATGGGTTGCTGAAGACCTATTCTACCCCGGAATCGGGCTACATCGTATCACCCCCAGTATCTATTACGAGTTATGTCCCTTCTAAGCCTCTCCTATGGACCAATCAGATTCCGCCTCTCGTAACACTTGCATTTGCTTCAAACAAAATGGCGGCGCCCAGTCAAGAGGATCTGATAAATAATCTAAGATTTAGATTGTAATATAACGGGTCTTACATCGCGCAGTGCATCAAATTACGTGAGCACATTGATTAAAAACATGAAAAGATTTGGAAAATATCTGTTGACGAGTTGGCAGTGCACATGCTTTGCAAGTCCTGCAATCGACCGAAATCTGCACGACAGTTTACTAACCGGATTTCCATTTTGTTGCGCAATTTTGATTTGACTATGCTTAGACTTGTTAGTCCAGCCAAAATATAACTCCATAATACCAGCATAGTTCGGCAAAGGTGGAAACTGGACTTTTATAGTCAGTTAACACTCTTGCCTCTGGAAGATGAGTAGTTTCAGGGAGCGACAAAGTTCCATTTGCGTCGAGATGATGCGCCTGGTGATGCAGAGCCTTGAGATGAAGTCAAGCGGATCGTAGAGGCGCCACCTAAATCCATGCTAGGCATCTGTAGAGGTGCTAGTAAAGGTGCTTGTAGAGATGCTGTGGGTATGATAGGTCGGAGAAGCCAGAGGCGCCAAGATTTTCGCTGAAGGCACCAGGAACCTGGGCATGGATTGTTTAAACATCTGCATAAAGTCAAACCAAGATGGATCCATGTAAGGTGCCTCGTGTGGATGGACGCATGAAGCGCCAACGCCACAATAGCTGTGGATAGCTGGTATGTCTGAGGTTAAGATGGCGAAAGGTAGTTGGCGTCATCAATCGCGTAAATCATTTGAAATATATGAAGACACGAACCGTATGCACAATAATAGTTCACAAAGAAACACTAGAGTTTGCAAACAGGCAAAGGGTTTAGTGATAAAATGCTGAGACTCAAACAGTAGACTTTTCTCCTTGGTTGACAGCAGTTATGTGCTGATAAGTGACGTCATCCCTTCCAAAGTCACATGGGAGCTCTGCGATGGATTGGCCACTCAGCTAGTTGAAACAACTTCTTCTGTAAGACCTCAGACAGCTCTTTCTCTCTGTCAAGAATAGGCAGTAAAAGCATTAAGGAGTAATGCAGGATAAGTAAACAAATCTTGAATTTTCTTGTATGTTTACAGCCATTATCATTCACACAAAGGTACACCTTTTTTAGTCTTCTGGTTCTTGAAAAAATAATTTTGAGCTTTCAGTTTCAGCCAGGTAAGCTAAAAATACTTCAACTCAAAAGATCCATAATCATCCTGGTGCAGTAGAAGTGTAAAACAAGAGTTTGAAAACAAAGTCCAATTCTCATTCACAATGATGACTTTCATTTGTTTGGAAGATGTGTATTGCACACCACTACTTGCTATAAGTTTACTCTGAACATTCTTTCCAAGATCTCTTAAAATCAACAGAAACAAGAATAAAGACATTTTCAAAATATTATTCTAGATTCCAAAGTTACCATTGTTAATAATTTCACATCTTGTCTCACTTTTTCCGCAATAAATGACATTAAACAAAAGAAGAATTTTATGCATACAGGATTGATGGTAGTGAATAAATTAATCTAGAACAAACCATATCAGCAAACTGGTTTATTCCCAGGTAGTAGGATTTTTGGCCTTGGGAGTACTTTTGGTTGTGCTGCTCAATGTACTTAAGATTCTGCTTGAAGATTTCAAAGCGTGCCGGCTCCTCCACTTCCTCATAATTTCGGTCTGCAAGTGCAAGAATACAACCAGCATATTAACATGTGTAACGACAACCTTAAACATGAACGATGTAGGATTAATATTTATCTAAAATGATGCCATAGTTCATTCCTTGATCCTTCCACATCTAGAGAAAATAATAAACTGCCTCATCATGATCATTTGTAGATTTTAGACATAAGAGCATATCCTACTACCATGACTATCACATGAACCTACTATGTTGTTTCTTGAAGGAGTCCCATTCTTCTGTGTAAGGAGCAAACGAGAGTCTAGCCTCTGACACAGTCATCGCTGGCTTCATCTCAAACCACTCCACATACTGGGGCATGGCTGCCACTGTTGCTGCGAAGGCACACATTATCATCACTGTGTACTGCATCTTTGTAGTTTGAATTGCACTGATCTGTAACCAGAACACATCACTGCAGGTTGTAATTTCAGCAGAATCAAAATAAGACAAAGGTCTTGTGATTTCAGAGGAATGTGAAAAAATGCAGAAACACTACAAAAAGGGGTTACATGAAGGTAAAAAGTCATAGCTAGACAAAAATACGTCAAAAAAAGAATTGTATCCTTTGTTTGTTGTTTAACGCCGCACTCAGCAATATTCCAGCTATATGACGGCGGTCTGGAAATGATCGAGTCTGGACAATCCAGTGATTGACTTCATGAACATCGATCCATGCAGCTGGGATCAATCACATGCATCAACCAAGTCAGTGAGCCTGACCGCCCGATCCTGTAGTCGCCTTTTACCTTATGCATCTAATGAAATATCTCATTCATTGGGCATTTCCTTCAAAATAAGACTAGTTTCCAGTATAAACCCATATAAGTTTGAATTTAACAGCGTTGCCCTGAGCCAGGAAATCTGTGTATTTGATGCCATCTAAGTAGAATATATGCAGCATAATTTTCCTATTGTGACAGTTGTGATGCAGATCATTCAGTCTCTCAAAATCAACAATTTAATGGAATTCCCACATCTAGCCAAAGAATAAAAAATGTCACAACATTTCAAGTTACAAAATATGAAGCATAAAGCTTACATGAAAAACGCAAGAATCGCTTCCCCTCTTATGCTAATTTATTTAAGTTTTCCATCACACATTAATAATATATTGTCAAAATCTAAATCTGATTTAAAACCCAAACGTCACAGATTCAACTAAACAATGAATCATAATAACTACAACAGGCTGACCAGTGACCACTCATAAGTTGATATAATATATTGTGTACAGTACATCTTCCCGAGGCAAGGGAGTTAACCGACTATAAAAGTCCAGTTTCCATCCTTGCCAATCTAGTCTTGTGTTATGGAGTTACATTTTGGCTGGACTCACAAGTCTATGCAAAGTCCAATCAAAATCACAAAACGAAATCAACATCTGGCATAGATCTTGATTATCGATCAGATTCTCTTGACTGGGCGTCGCCATTTTCTTTGAAGCAAATGCAAATTTTATGAGAGGTGGAATCTGATTGCTCAATAGGCATGATAGGAGGAAGAGACATAACTCGTGATAGCCACTGGTGTCGCTACGATTGAGCCCAGAAATTCCAGCCTGATTCGGCAAGGGTGGAAACATGACTTTTATAGTCTGTTAACTCCCTTGCCTCGGGAAGATGTGTACTGTACTGCATGCAGTAAGTCACATGCAGAATAATGACACCACATAGCAGTTGCCTTTTCAGGTTAAATTATCTACAAATAAAACAACAAATGTAGGACATTACAATTTAATTAGATCAACAACAGTGCTGACATGGTAGACAGTAAATAAATATGTAAAATATGATTTAAAAGCAGGAGTAGTGGAAGAACACAATATTTTTTACCTTTAAAAGATAAATTATTAGAGTTAGCAAGTTGGGTTTAACGCTGCTAATAACAGTATTCCAGTTAAATCACGGTGTGTCACCTTCATGTTGGAGGAAAGCCTTAAGTGATGCAGGTCTCAGACATTTACCAATTTGGGGAAAACCACAAGCACGGGTATGATGCTGACAAATGATGAAATATAATCAGGGCGAACCTGGATTCAAACCAACAATTATATGTAATTTATTTAGAAATCTGATATCAATTAATATCTTGTAAACCAAAAGACCTATGACTCTGTAGCACAGCCAGGGGGTAATGACCCCCAGTTTTGAGGCCAGGACAAACCTTTGTTTATGTCTACCTACTCTGGAATGGTTTCTGGATGTTTATTAACATCCTAATTGTAGATGATATAAAAAAACAGAGCTCCAGATAAGCTGCGTATTTGCGTAAAATATGCATCAGAAACATGCAGTAAAACAAAATCCAAGCGTATCAAATATGCAACGAACATTACAGATACGCTACAAAAATAAAACTTGTGCGTATCATCAAAATATTGTGAAGTAACCCTGCGTATTCGTTTAGCAAATCAACAACTTATTTTGAAATTATAAACAGGCATTCCGTCAAACTTGCCAAACTCCACGATGACAGTTACATCATGATCATTTGCCATCACACTTTCTTGTGGAAGTATCGTGGTATTTCTGAGTCCTATAAAGCTCTCGAACCCACACGACACCAGTTTGCAGGGACTAGATGAATAGTGTTTTTAAATATTTAACTTAAATACCCACATGTGTAAACACTAGTGGGTAACAGAAATTTGAATACCAAGATAGAATTACTGATACCCAATGATTTTAAAATGCATAGGTAAAATACCCACAACACCAAAAGCTTATCTGGAGCTCTGAAAACTATTCCAAAAAGATATTTTGTGAAATAGAAAAGTCAATATTCTTCCTGTTGCAGGGGCTAAAGTGCATATATGACTTACTAGCCATATAATAGCTGCAGGCTAATCTAGGTCATGTATAGTCAACATCATGTGATCACTCACAAAGGAGGTCATGCCAACATTTCACGTGACACAGGATGTAATATCATGCATAGAGAAACAGGATATTAACATGATTAAAGTTCAAGGATTGTCCTTCAAAATAGAATTTTCAAATGATATGGAACAAATAACTGAAACATAAAACATAAAGGGCATAGATATCAAATAATTTCATAACATCAGATATTCAAACATATCACATCATATACGATGTCTGATACAATACTGTTAATCTTGTAATTAATGCGTATCCAAATTAATATGACAGCCGACCCCTAGCCAAAAATGCGACTCCTCCCACCCCATCCCCAGTGGAATGATACATATACCCTTACCTTATTCCAATAAAGCAGCAAATAGCACCGCCTATTAGCACTGAGTAAAGCACTTCCGTACTAACAATAAACAGTGTTTTCCTAAAAACAACACACAGTCTATATGTTTATTCTGGCATAACGGAAGTTCAAAGTTGTCAATAATAATTGAACAAACAACAGATCACTGATTAGAATGGTCAATGATGCACGCTCGCACTAATTTCAAGATTTACAGTATACAATCAACTGAGCACTTGTTCAAAATGACAACACCTTGTCTGTAAAAAATGCTTCCCATAATGTCATGTATATTCATAAATCATATCTAATATGAATCTGATCTATGTTTAGCAATGTCAACTCAGAAGAGTTTGTCACTAAACATTTTGTTAATATATCATATATGCAGAATCAACAATTTCAAAGTACCCTATGATATATTAATGCCAAACATCATCTACTTTGCAGATGATACAGAGAAAGAAAAAGAAAACAGAACAAAACTACAGGAGCCACTGTTATCATATCATAATCTTTGTCCACTTTGAACAAGTATAGACTCAAACTGTTATGGCACATACTGCATGCTGATTACCCAATGTTCACAAGACATTACAAAAACTATACCTGAATAGCACTGTACGTTTGCTTCTTCTGACAGACTACCAGTACCAGCACTGACTAGGGACTACGCAACACTTGGCTCATATATGCAGCCAATCCAAGTCAGGGGGGACTCACATGACACCTCACCCACGTATCACATGACCCAACAAAGGAAGAGATTGTCATGATAGTGTTAGTCATTGTTAGTAGCTGTTACTAACTTTGGACTTGGGATTTCAAGAGGAACAAGTCGTTAACTGGGTAATATTAGCACAGGCTACCCAAAAAATAAAGAATATTTCACCGTAGACACAAGTTATCCAGAAAGTAGGCCAATACAACATCATACAATAGCTTCACCTAACTTTGTGATTCAAAAAGTCAACTGATCATGAAAGAGCAAATTCATTGATTTAATATCTTAAACCAAGGACGTAAAAGTATCTATATCGGATTAAACCACGTGAAAATGTAATTATGATCTATGTAGTATGATCGTATGATATACTGTAAATTCACAGTAGCAAAACTAAGCACGTAAAATACAAACACGTATTACCCGATGAAAAGCTGTCAGCGACTTTCCAGGTTTCAAATTAAACACATTTATCCTACGTACAAAAACTGGTCCGTTTTATTTTAATGCGCCTTGGCTAATACTGTGTCGATAGTTTCTGATACCTGTTTTCGATTCTTTCTGAAACTTGAAACTGACGTAACCTACTTCTCAACACACAATTGTTTGGGCGTTTATTTGCGCGTTGACCTCCTCTGCCTATTTCTTTTTCGAAAGTGAAGGCCCATCGTTAAATAAACATGAACTTGTTCAATCAAGTATGTAGCATTTGACAACCCACAACGCCAAATTTACGTGAAGTGTACCGACAAAGTATAATAACAAAGACTCAGTTATTATCCGTTAATTAAAGCTGCAAGAATACATTGAAGAAAGTCTTTCACATATAGGCCAGTGAATACATGAACTGTTACATTGAATACATGCCTCCACACTTAATATATGATATCGTCTTGCTTGTGGAGGCTTATATTTATCAACCTACCTTGAAATCTTGACACTCACCAGCTGCGAAGAATGTTATCATGTGATCATGAAGTCACGTGGTAGTAACGTCATCGCCAAGAACAGCAACTCTCTAGGCTACACCAAATATACCCCATCCACTAAAAAAACCCGGGTCCGTTCGTGACCAACTCGTGTTATGTCTTCTTACAGGTTACGGAAAGGGGCGATTGGTGACGAATGCCAACTCTCGTGTTATTCCTGAAACGCCCGCAGGTTTCATCAGACGTCCTGGAAGTAAATAATGCAGTGCAGTCAGTCAGTAAAATATGCCTTAAAAAAGTCATAACTGCCACAACAAACCACAATACAGTACCATAAACCAGAGACCATATAATATATATGCTCTCTGCACAAACTTTTCAAACACGTGACAATACCCTATGACGTACTTTGTAGTATTTTGTTGCCAGTCACACCGGGGAAACAATGCCCTGTGACGTCAGGGGTCATCGAGTGTGCATAAGCTCCTCCCAGTGATCTATCATCTCTACATGAAATGCCATTGAATACGCCAAGCAGTGTGGAGAGTTTTGAATATTTGTTTACTAAATATAGCCTGTGGCGGCGCATTTTACGAAAGCACTTTTTTTTTTCTTTTCTTTTTTTTCGTAATTCAAGTGGCTAAAATGGTTATAAATTGGAACAAATATACATATATTATTTTTTCAGTTCATTTATTTTCATTATTATGCACAAAAGTTATAAGGGACACAGGTAAAAAGTCATAATGTTCATGATAATAAATGAATGTGAGTATTCGCCAGACAATCTTGAACAATTTAAATCAACCCCTTATGTATTTAAACACTGTAAGTCAATTGAATGAATGAATTTAAAGGGGCGCTGATCTAAAGCAATTCCCCGGGACTGGTTGTTGCCTTTGTTATTGTTTTTTCCCGTGAGTACCCGGATGTTATAGCAGAAACCTAGACTAGTTCGCGACCTGTGCTGCGCAATTCGTAAGTGCATTTGTCACTTTTATTGATAGTATAAGGGCGTATGGTCACATTGATCAACAAAATGAAATACAGTTTTGGAAATAATAAGGAAATGTTGGTATCTTTGTGGGTAGCATCGGTAATGGTGACGAAGTTTTGATAAGTCACTTGCTTGGTAATTGTGTGATTTACGTTTACACTATTTTGACTTGCAACACAAAGTAAATATTTCTCCTGAGCATTGCTTATTTTATCGTGTTTATAGTTTTACAGTCAAAATGGGCAAAATTTTCACTTAAGACATTTATTAAACGCCTGAATATTCAGTTATTTTACAAATTGACTGAAAAAAATGTCCATCTGTATTATTATGACAACGAATTCAAAACATGTTTATGTTTAATATCATCACCAAGAGACTGAAAATGTTACGATGAAAAGTACATTTCTATATTGTTTGGCTTCTAATCCTACATAATAATCTATTATGATGGTTTTAGGCCCTTTTGATCGTCCTAATCAATTTTAGTCAATCTGTTAAAGAAATGGACAGATGTTGCAGTCAAAATGACAAATTGACTGTAATATATACACGCTTTCAAAGGAAAAGACTTGTGAAAACAACGTCTATCGCGCATCGAAGAATTTCCCAACCAAGACGTAGAGGAACAAGAATGAATCTGTCCATTGCTGCAGCAAATGAAGGAAAACAAAATGCAAATATCATAATCACAACCTACCAAATTTATGTGTATAATTTTAGGCAGCTTCCTTGTTCGAGGAATGTATCCGTGACTATCCACACAAAGGAACAATATCCAACACGTCTGCAGCTGTACAAAGAAACTTATTCGACGTCACGTGTCTCTGTAACAATCAACTATTTTAAAATATATATATCGTTTCGGGATATTATAACCCGTGTTCGTTTCTTAACTGATCGCTTAGATTGTTTCAAGTGTTTCACATAGGTGTCAAGTCTCAAAGGTCGACTGAGAAAGCCCACGTGACAACTATTTTCATAACGTCCACGGTTCCTAAAAAACTCCCTTGAGTTAGATAACAATGAGCAATAAATCAACGTGTTTTCGGTTAACCCTTTGAAGTATGTTGTTTTTACATCGGCACTTCACGCCATGATATGCGTGTATTCCCTTTGTTTTACATTCTTGCCTTAGACGACTGGGCCACCCGTGCCCCCCCCCCTAACAGTAAAAACGGAAATCAGGAAAGTTGTGGAAACGAGGTCTTCCGGTTCCATTTGACTCAGTTCGAACTGATAGGAGTCAGTGCTATTCAACAGTCCTGAGGGTCCAGCTATTTTCTGATGAATAAATCGTATCTGCTGATCTGAAGCGCCAGCCAATACTGACAGCTGACTGTTTGCTTGGCATTCTTGAAGTGTATGCGTAAATAAGAAAACATACAACTTCAAATTATGTAATAGCCAAACTGTTGAAGATGAAGTTCACTTTTTGGTAACGTGTGATTGTTATAGAGATCAGAGACTCAATCTTTGACAGCAAGTATCCCTTGTTAACCCCTCGTTTATTACCATATCTTCTGCAGACCAAACCGTATTCTTAATGCAGTGCGACGATCTGGTTAAAACACTTGCTGCATTTATCTTCTCAATGTTTCAGAGAAGAAAATATAATATAAAAACATAAATTGGGCAGTTGTATACATGTGATAATTCCTATCATTTTCACTGTTGTTTTGCTGTGTTGTATGGTTTGTTGTATGGAGATGCTGCGAGTTGTGATGAGTGACTGGCCTGTAAGGATGTGCTGTATACTTGGTACGTGGATGCTGCTTCTTTTTGTGGAAGTGGGAAAGGATGTGGTTGCCAGTGAGAGCGTGGTTGAAAATGTAGATAAGGGAGTTGGTATGGCACCAGAAATGGGCTTCACACATTGTACCAATGTCGGGAATAGAACACGGGTCTTCGTCGTGACGAGCGAACGCTTTAACCACTAGGTTACCTGACCGCCCCTTTGAGGAATAGGGTGTGGGTGAGGGTTCGGATGTGATTGAGCAGTTGTCAATGAGGGTTTGGATATGTTTGAATGAGCGGGTGTGTTTGTGGTTTGAGTAGGCTGTTGTGAGTGAAGGAATGGATGTGGTTGTGTGTCTATACAAAATGCTTGTACGGGTGATATCATGAATGTTATTTTCATAAATATTATAAAATGTGGTGTATATATATCTTGTTTTTATGAGTCTTTTAGAGTCTCGTAGGCCAGAAAATGCGTGATTTCATAAAAAAAACCATGAACATGCCAAAATGTCAATTTACAAATCAATAGGGTGTGTGTCCACGTCTGGTTGAGATGCAAGCAACACATCTTTGTCTCATGGAATGGACCAAGCGTCGCACAAAGTCCTGCGGGATATCTGTCCATATCTGCTTGAGCATTGTTACGACGTAAATTGTAATAAAAAGGTAAATTGTAATACTTGCAGCAAATTGTAATAATTTTGACGTAAATTGTAATAACAACGTAAATTGTAATAATATTTGACGTAAATTGTGATACGCAAATTGTAATAAAAATTGACGTAAATTGTAATAATCTCTACTTGCGGTAAAATGTAATAAATTCTTACGTAAATTGTAATAACCTTACTACCGTAGTGTCCAAGACGCCAATTGACTAGAAATGATCTTTGTCAGTTGAGCTTGCGTTTCACATGTCCAATTCGAGAAATACTGTGTATGATGACAAACGTACAAAACTGTTAAGTAAGGGATGGTTGGTATAGGCTTTATCGTACAATCGTCATGAAAGGGTGGTGTCAACATCGATAAATTTAAATGACTGAAAGATCCATCCTCGGGTTCCAAATGATGGGTTACACAACCGTATATTCGACAAATAATTTAATTGTGACATATTGTTCAATACTCTTATAAGGCTATTCACGATGTTTTTTGCATGACTTGCTTCAACAGTACGTTGACCAGTTCGACACGACTGAACGAGAGTAGTTGTCTCCATCAGTCGAGGACCGCTCAGGATTTCAGGACCAAGATGGCGTCACCTCCGTTTCCGGTGGCGTGTGCCTCCAAGATGGCGTCACCTCCGTTTCCGGTGGCGTACGCATCCAAGAGGGCGTCCCATCCGTTTTCGGTGGCGTCAC